TGTCTTCTGAGTTGTCTCCTGGTGTAGATTGCTGTGTGTTTCCCAGGAAAGTGGATAAATGATACCAAGTCATTCAGCTTATAAGTAGCACACTGGCAACCCGCCACTAAAATATAAATACATTAAATGTACTGAAGGAAATGTTCATTCTGTTGTTTAGCCTTGGACATGCCCCAGTTAGGTAAATTTAATCTTCTTGAGGGTTGTTGCATTACAGCTGAATGAGATAGGCTGTTATCTTATTACTGATCTTTCTGTCATTCAGGGTTCGTGTTCTGGCATTCATGGTGTGAAGTGTACTTGCCCAAGAGCGGTCCTAGAAGTGTTTTCCAAGGGAGATGAAGGTGCGTAGGGGATCTGTTAGCACCTTGCAAGTTTTGACCCTTTATCTTGGTAACGTTCACACTCCTTGTCAGTCACACCACCACTGGTTCAATCTCCTGTTGAGTAGAAATGTACAAAATAGTGGCTTTGCCTACATTTGTTAGGAAATGTCTGAAACTCAGCCCCGCTGCATTTATTTTCTTCATGGGTATTTCTGCCTCAGTTCCTTCCCAAATCCCTGGCCGTGCCTCTGCTGCTCTTGAGGTCAGGGACAAAGCTCCCACTGGCTCCAGGGTGAGCAGGGCCCAGCGTTAAGCAACAGACCCAAAGCCGATGGATTGCATTAAAGAGAAGTCTCTTAATTGTTTTCCACTGGTGCTGGGTTAGACCCTCCAAACATGATCTTACAGCATTAATGCTTGTGACTAATCCCACTGAAACCCAGGGAGCTGCCCCATGTGTGAGCACTACCAAATACAATGTGCAGCGTTAATAAGCACTCTGCAACAGTTTAGCACTTCTCTTGGTTGTACAATGAAGGGACAGGATGAGGCAGGAAAAGAGAAGCAGAAGTAATACATGAACAGAATGATTCTGAGCTGGTTGTGAAGAACAGTGATGTTATATCTGGAATGCAAGTACTTAAAAAAATAAGACATCAGCTGTGTGTTTTACAGATAAGAAAATGTTATTTTATTGAACGGAAAGATATATATGTTTCACCTATCACATCTGAACTAATCAGTGTAGGCTTTTAGGAGAAGTCTGTAATTACTCTGAGCACGTCATTAGTTATATATAAAATGAATGATATTGCTCCGTTTTATTACCTCTAGTGATATAGCCATTTGTATCATAAATTAATTGACCTCATCTTAAATGATCAATTCTGCAAGACAGACTTGATTCATTAATTCTTAAGTGACATTTTTTCTCCTCCAGTAATTTCCTCTTCAATGTGGGGACTGGTTTTCTGCCTTTTATTATGGTATTATGAGGCATCATATAACCTGCATATGACATGCACTTTTTATCCTTTTATCTTAACTAAGCAGCATAGACTGATTGCTTGTGTAGGAAGAAAGAAAGGAAGAAAGAATGAAAGAAAGAAAGAAAAAAAGAAAGAAAAAAAAGAAAGAAAAAGAGAGAAAGAAAGAAAAAAAGGAAGAAAAAGAAAGAAAGAAAAAGAAAATAATGAAATGCATGCACATAGTAGATAGATATTACTCACTGATATTACCATCAACACTTTGAGATGTTGCATGAAATCAATGAGATAGTTATTGGATATTTGGTCTCTCCGGGATATTCAGAGGAACAGATTTGCTACCTTTAATTTCTGTGGCTTTAATTAATTTTATCTAGTGATAAAATATACAAAAGGGTCTGTGATCAATATATGAGTGAGGCAGGCGGACTTCAGAGTTTCTTATTCCTCAGTGAATTATTGAAAACAGGAGAAATCAGTAGAGAATTTCTAAGCAGGACTTCTAAATATTTTACCAAGGAAGAGAAAATATTTGTCTAGCCAGGAGAGATACAGGAGCCCACTGGAGATAAACAAATCAATACAGCAATAATGCAGTGAAGTGTTTCAGTGAATTTTTCAAATGATAACTAATAAAATTAAATTATTAGAAAATATGCCACAATCTGGGGGGGGGGGGGGGCTGTATTTCTCTTTCAGTCCGTTTAATTAAAGTCATTGAGGGGGCTCTTCTTAGAAAGATAAGGAGGCTGGATTTATTCTCTCATATTTCTCAGTTACTTCTTTGGCAGTGGGCTTACAAGGTGGCTTGCTTCCTTGGCCCAAAGACAAGGTAAGTCTTCACTGCAGCTGCATCTGAAGTCCTGCTCCATCCCTTACTGCAGGCACCCTTGAGGCCAGTTTCCTCCTTGTCTTTCCCCTGCAAATAGTGATGGGCCAGCGTGGACTTCAAACTGCACCAGCCTGCCTCAGGAACTGTCTGGGAGCTCCTGGTACCTCTTTGTGCAACTCCTACGGTACATGTGGAGACCCCCTGCCTCTTTGCCAGGCCTTGGGGCAAGAGTGTACCCTGCAAGCTGCAAGAGGAGGGCGGTGGAGTACATTCTGATTCTAAACATTCAAAATAGATAGAATTTTGTGGCTACAACAGTGAGCTCTTGAACAAAAATTACTTTAAAGAAAATTCAGCAGCTTTACTGAGTTAAATAGTACCTTATTAATGTGCGGTATAGACTCACAAATTCCCCTTCTGTCTGCTTGAAAAACAGTGGCAAGCCAGAAAATTTTAGGAGGTCGATTAGAAGACGTTTCCATCATGTGTGCTGACTTGCCAGATGGGTGGCAAAACCCATACCCATGCCAAATACCCAGGATGGTTCAGTGCTCACTGCTGTGTGTTTGCACTGTTTGCAGTGAGGGGTTGCTCAGCTTTGGTGCTGTGTGTGATGGTCACTGAACCTTCCTGTGGAGAGCAGAGAGAGAGCTGATGCCTGGTAAAATCCAGGAGCTGTTGTAAGTGGGGATGCTCCTCTTTGCCCTGCTTGATGCACTCCTACTTTCCCATCTGCCCCACACCTGGGGGGATACATGCACTGCGGCAGCGTAGGCATTTATCTCCACCCTTCAGTGCATTTGACAGCCTTTTTGTCCACATATTTGAGGGTGCGACATCATCCCTGTGTGATCAATGCAGGGCTGGACTTGTTTGTAATGCACTGGGAAATTTTCTTTCTTGCGTGGGGCATCATGCACTGAGCAGGACCAGTACCCCCTGTGCTTTATCTCACAGGACACAGTGTTTGTGTGCCCAAGCTAAAAATCTGTGCCCTGCATTCGTAAACTTCAGGGATGACTTAATAGTTGCTACTTCTTGATTGCTACTAAATTGATTATTTAGTTTGATTTAAAGGTTGGGATAAAAGAGAGGGAATGTGTGTATGTGTGAGTGTGTGAAGAGGGGGGGAGGGAAGGCAGGAGGGAATCGAACAGCAACCTGACTGGAGAACCAAAAGGTTGAGAAGTTAAATGGGCTAATAGCCATAGCATATAGTGTGTGTGTATGTGTGTGTGTATATATATATATATATATATATATATATATAAATATGTATTAAAGATATATTACTGAAAACTCAAAAATGTCACCACTGTTTATATAAAAGGAAAGCTGAGAGTTAAATGAGATGAGTAATCAGATGCCCAACATATGTTGTTTTGAATTGTTTATGTGGCCAATAGTTATTAAAATTAATTATCCTTTTAATGCAGTCTTTTCACAATCATAGTGTTCTTTGGGGTTTTTTGGAGGGGTTTTTTTCTTTATACAAAAGATACAGTCATTTCAAAACAAGCTAATATGAGCTATTTGGAAAATGCAGAACAAATAATACCAGGATGTATTCTGACATGGTCATAGGCTCAACATGCTGACAGAAAGCACCAAAAGTCTCTGTCAGTGGAGTATTTTGAGAACTAATGTAAATGACAAAAATGGGGGGGGTTTGTGTGTGTAAAATTCTGTCAAAAAAGTGAGGCACTGCAAAATCTGACATCTGTTTATCTGTTTATAGCTATGGCAAGATTACTCATATTAATTCTTGTTTAAAATGCCATATGAAGGAAAGGCATTTGTGCAAACAAGAGTCATATTTGAATTGTAGATCATGTCTTCACCATCTGTGAGAGCTGTTGGTGTTGCAAAATTAATGTGTTAATGAAATCACAATAATTTCTCTGAAGTAATGGATTCTGAAGCCTAGAATGACTATTTTTTGAACTTTGGTGTCTAGTGGCTTACAACTGGGAAAACCTTTCACAGCTTAATTAGTTCTGCAGCCTTATTTAAAAAAAAATTGGCTATGCCTCCACCACACCAATAGTAACACAGAAGAAGATTAAATGAAAAGCAGAGTAACAAAACAAAAATGAGCCTGCAGTGCAAACTTTTTGCTGTAGTATTTGAAAAGTTGCTAAACAGGTCCTTGCTTGCCAAGAAGTTTTACTCAAAGTGACTTGTACACAAGAGTGGGCAAACAGCTCGGAACATAATTCCAGCTTGCTGAAACATCACAAATTGGGACTATTTGAACCTTACACAAATATCCTGACTTTTTCCAACTTTCTTCTTGGAACAAAGGGCAAAGAATGAATGGTGCTTTTCACTTTGTGATGCCATTTCAAAATATCACACTCTTTCCAAGTTATTATTTGATACCCTGAATAGAATGCTGTATGTTACTGTGTCCTGCATTTTAGCAGAACTGGTTTGCATTAATTTCCAGCAATTTTCTGAGTCCTTTTCCAGTTATCACACTCCTTGTATAATATGGCATCTCAGATGGCACAGGCGTGCATAGTTTACCACTGAGAAGTAATCACAGCCATACTCATATGGATTTTGCATACATACATATGCATGTTATAACAGTTTATACCAACTGAGGATTCTTCTCTGTGAGATATATAATGCATTGTATAAGGTAGAACTGAGATCATGGGAGCCAGAAAAGGGAGTGGCATTCAATTCACCAATATGTTGGAGAAAAAAAAAAGTGCAGTTTTCACAAATGTTACTTTTTTTCCTGTTAGAAAAATAACGTATTTAATAACTGAAAAATTACTTTTAAAATAATGCTATGAAGAGAAGATTGCTTTTCTTACCTGATTTGATTTTATTACTGTGTTTTAGGTATGTGACTGGTGTAAGCACATAAGACACACAAAAGAGTATCTGGATTTTGGGGACGGGGAAAGAAGGCTTCAGTTCTGCAGTGCAAAATGTCTCAATCAGTACAAAATGGACATTTTCTACAAAGAGACACAGGCCAATCTTCCAGCTGGACTGTGCAGTACATTACATCCTCCAGTTGAAAATAAAGCAGAAGGCACTGGAGTGCAGCTGCTGACTCCAGATTCTTGGAATATACCACTAGCAGATGCTCGGAGAAAAGCCCCATCCCCAGTGTCTGCAGCTGGCCAAATTCAAGGTCCTGGACCATCAGCGTCTACCACTGCCTCTCCGTCTGACACTGCCAACTGCTCTGTCACTAAAATCCCCACACCAGTTCCCAAACCTATTCCCATCAGTGAGAATCCAAATATTCCACCAGTTTCTGTCCAGCCACCTGCTAGCATTGTGCCTCCAATTGGTGTCCCACCTCGCAGTCCTCCGATGGTGATGACGAACCGTGGGCCAGTTCCTCTGCCCATATTCATGGAACAGCAAATTATGCAACAAATCCGTCCACCATTCATTCGTGGGCCACCTCACCATGCCTCAAATCCTAACAGCCCTCTGTCAAATCCAATGATTCCTGGAATTGGTCCCCCACCAGGTGGTCCCAGAAATATGGGTCCCACCTCTAGCCCCATGCACAGGCCAATGCTTTCCCCCCATATCCATCCTCCCACAACACCTACCATGCCTGGGAATCCTCCTGGCTTGTTGCCGCCTCCCCCTCCTGGAGCTCCGTTGCCCAGTCTTCCCTTTCCCCCTGTCAGCATGATGCCAAATGGTCCTATGCCTATGCCACAGATGATGAACTTTGGATTGCCGTCCCTTGCCCCGCTGGTGCCACCCCCAACTCTACTAGTGCCATATCCTGTCATTGTCCCTTTGCCCGTTCCCATCCCCATTCCCATCCCCATCCCTCACATCAATGACTCCAAACCCCCCAATGGCTTCTCCAGCAATGGTGAAAGCTTCATTCCGAGTACCTCCAGCGAGGCACCTGGGGCAAAGCCAACCAACAGCTCTTCATCTCCTCGAGAGTCAAAGCAAGGATCGTCTAAATCCTCTGACTCATCGCCGAGCTGCTCGGGCCAGTCCCTTAATCAAGCTCAAGTGCTTCAGGAGCACAGTAAAAATGAAGTTGTTGACTTGACTGTCAGACCTAGTAGTCCAGTGAACAGTAAGTTTGGTTTCCCCAGTGTGCTACAGGGTCCACAGGACGGTGTGATAGACCTAACAGTAGGCCACCGGTCTAGGCTGCACAATGTTATCCACAGGGCTTTACACACCCAAGTGAAAGTTGAACGTGAACCTAATAGTGTTGTAAATTTGGCTTTTGGTAGCTCAGACAAAAGGAACTGCAGTGACTGCAGGGACAACTGCAGCCCGGTTGACTCAAAAACATTACCGTGCAGTGACGGAGCTCACTGCTGTCCCGTCTCCTTGGCATCTGGCACGCCGGGACTGGAAGCTAGTGCAGCGGTGTGCAACGTCATTGTGAATGGCACAAAGAGCACAGAGGGTTCCAAGAACCTGGAGCTGCCCCAGGAGCCAAAAAAGCCCCAGCCCCCAGAGGAGCTGGTGGTGAGTGAGCTGGAGTCTGTTAAGGAGAACAACTGTGTGTCAAACTGCCTCCTTGAGGGAGACGCTGGAAAGAAAACTGGGGAAGAGCCCCTTGCTGGGGGAGACAAACAGGACCCGAACCTTAACAATCCAGCAGATGAGGACCATGCATATGCTTTGCGGATGCTGCCCAAGACAGGTTGCGTTATCCAGCCTGTGCCAAAACCAGCAGAAAAGACTGCTATTGCACCATGCATTATCTCAACGCCAATACTCAGCACAGGGCCAGAGGATCTGGAACCACCATTGAAAAGGAGGTGTCTCCGAATTCGAAATCAGAATAAGTAAAGGTTTGTGTAATCACTACTGCCTTCTGTGTGAATAGAATTGAGTATTTTCAGGTATGAGGTCAAACCTGTGTGGGTGTGGCTGTTATGAAACAGAAAGATACAAATTCCAATTTATCAGCACTTTCAGAAAACTATTGGGGTTTGTGTTTTAATATTGTTCTTGGTGTTGTATTGTATCTGTACTTGTCAGTCCTCCATCCATCAGTAGCCTCATTACACTTTTGCTCACAGAACATTTCATGATGGTGCTGGCTGTGAAGTTATTGTGCTGTGTATGTCAAAGTGAGTGGTTTTCTGCCTAGAATATGGTTTAGGTCTGGGCCATTAATCTGCTTACTTATTCCAGCTGAGTTACACAGCAACTCGAGCCTTCATGATGATGATTGAAATTGCCCTGCAGCATAGCATAGAGCAGGACAACGCAGCTGCTTCCCACTAGCTCAGATCCAATGGATTTAACAAATGGTCATCTCCAGCCATCTTACTTTGGTCTGCCTCCAGACTGCACCCTGGCTTTCTGCTGCACTGTTCTCTCTGAACAGCAGTCAACCCCCTCTCCCTGTGCTTGCCTTCCTCATATATTGGTGCCTAGGGACTGCCTGCTGTTTGGGACCTGCACGCTGTAGCTTATGGCAGGAAAACCTCTGCCATGGGGCTTTACTCCCTTATCTAAGGTACCCAAGGCCTTGGGTGCAAATCTCCTACCTTAGAAAAGCAGCTGAGGTTTCCCCCAGCCCTGCAGTTGGTATGGGTGTGTGGTTCCTGGTAGGGCTGCAAAGCAAGGCAGAGATATTTTAATATATATCTGATGCTTCAAAGTTGTGGACAAGAAACTGGTAAGGAAACTTCCCTGTCCGACCATCCAGGAGTCACTCTTGCAGTCACCCTTGCACCACGTGAGCTGGGATCAAAGTCTCTTTGCAGCTACACACCTCACACTCACACAGACCAGGTTTCCTTACTGGCTTGACCCCATGTTTCCCATAACAGAGTCTCAGACATCCAGATCCTTAAAATAATTTAGTCATGGTGCAATTTCTAAGTAACAAAATAACAGCTCAAGCTGAGTGTTTCTGAGGAGACACTCAGAACAAAGGAACTCCTGGGCTTTATACTCTTACAGTCTAAACGTGGGAGAGCCTGGGGGTCATCGGCTCCTGCGGTGTCTCTGAGTGTCCTGTCCCTGGTTGGGCCTCATGTCTTTGTTACACAAAGGGTCGGCAGTTCATGGCCTCTTGCCTGGGGCTCGGGCTCCTGATGTCCAGAGCTCAACTTGCGGCTCGCCCTGCAGCTGCACACTGAGCTACCTGCCCTGAATGTATTCTTTAACAAGATAATGTAATTGCAATTGTTTAGATTCACAAGCACGGAGAGCTTCTTTCAGGAAAAGGGGAAATAGTGGGTGTTGCGAGAAATCTGTTCAGCAGTAAAATGCTGATGGCTTGCCGGATGTGGCTTGGTGACATGCCAGATTTCATTACAATCCATGAAATATTCTGCAGCCTCCAGTAAATCCCTGTCCCTGGTAGCACAAATAGTGACTGCAGTGGTGTTTGGCACCTACAGCCATAGATAGCAGCAGCATGCAGTGGAATCTGGGCCATTGCAGTGTCTCCCTGCTTCATCAGTGCAGGCTAATTGCGCCATCAAAATATATAGTATAGGCAGGACTCCCTTTTTATTTGTTAACACCACATCCCCTGTGCTGGTTGCAGTGCCAGAAACATTGCTTCTCTTGATCATAAACTATTTATTTTCTTTCTTTGGTGGAACACAACCATTATTCTTTGCTGTCAGAATGTGCTGACACATTTAAAAGATACATTAGTCAGAACAGAGGACATAGTTATAGTTAACATCCTTGGACTAATAACCAACATATACAGTAACTCAGTAGTCAAATGGATATTTTAAATCGTTACACATTCCTAGGTCCTACTAGTGGGGATCCCCCTACCCCCATATCCTGAGGTATGGATGGACTAAATGTCCCTCGGCAGTGAGATCTTTATTGCAAACCTCAGTGTTACCTCTGGAGCTTGAAAGATTCTCTTCATAAACATACGCACTCTTCTACCTAGGAGTAGTGATTTATCTGGTGAGAAGGACACTATTTGGCTGTATCCTTTCTATTTAATTTTAGGAGAGCCATGATTAATTCTTTCTTTCCCATCTTATTCAAGCTCCTCATAGCTCTTTTAAGCCAGTGCTGGGACACTTGCACATTTATGTGCTTGTAGTGTAGACAAAGACAGGCTGGTTCTAAGCATCTATTTCTGCTTGCCTGGACCATCCAGACTGCAGCAATGCCATTTTGATGAGGTCCCAATCCCAGGAGGAGTTTAATGTTATTCAGAGCCAGAGCTTAAAATCTCAGAGAGAGTTCTGGCTTCACCGAGTTATGTATTTTTGCCTGTTGATGTGATTATACACGACATAACTTCACAGACAGTATTTGACAGTGAAAGTGGGCAAACTGAACAAGCTGCATTGGAAAGACAAGAAGGATGCTTTATCACTCAGTTACTGTCCTTAGCTCTTTGTATTCTCTAAATGTCAATAACTGCCACTGTGGTTATCCTCAGGAATAACCATTTTCCCATTCACCGAGAGTTTTACATATTCCTCTGTCTCAGTGTGAGGGTTGACTTACAGGAAAGTTTTCAGGTTGCCAGGCAAGATTAATCTGACCCAATACAGACATCTGGAACAAAGACACAGCTGAGCTAATTGTCTAAACTCTCTTTAAAATCAACCTAGAGACGCAGGCATTTCAGGAGACAGCTGAGCTCATCCTGAAGTCAGCAACTAAGACAGCTCAGAGAAATTGTGCCCTAGGAATGCCTATTTCTCCCTACTGTGAAGGAAACTTAGGGTGACTGGCACAGATACAGATGTCCCCGTAGACACTGGAAGTTAAAAAGCCCAGCCTAAGTGTCTGCCATACCTCTGGGGTTTGTGCAATAGCATAGCATGGCACAGTGATGACTATCAGTTAGTCTGTGTTTGTCCTCTCCTTCCTCCAGTAAAAGAAAAGAAACAACCTCTAAGCAGAAGAGATCAGGTCCTTACATGCTTCAAGGGAAAGAAGATACCCCAAATACTCTGTAGAAATAAACAGCATGGTAACCATCTCATTCCAGTGGGTACTGCAGTGAAACGTGGGTCGGTTTTGAGCCTCTCGAGCACGCACAAGTGATTTATGCAGTTCTGATGACTGATTTGAGGTGAGGACTCTGTGGTTTCATGCAGAGCCCTCCTTTCACTATTACTGGTCATAGCCAGTCTGGGGGAGCAAAGGGGCTGCTTAGATTTCCGCTCTCCCTGCCTGTTAAAACTGCACAGCACTCAGACCTGTCTATGTCTACACACAGGGGGTAAGCAGGGGGAGGAGAACATTGGTACAGCCTCTTGCACTGCAGCTGTGACCTCTGCTGTGCCCATGGGTTAGTTCCTCCTGCCAGGAAGCATGGAGGTAAAACCCTGCTCCTTGGGCTGTCCAGATGTGGGGAGGATCCCTCAAGAGAGACTCCCAACCTCATAGAAATTCTGATAAAATACAAGGAGGACAAAAACTGCACTAATAATTGTGTTGACTTGGACCCTTGGAGGTTTGTATTGGTTGCACTGGCCACACTAACCTGGGAGAAAAAAAGTCCAGTAAATTCTCTTTTTCTCTCTTGCCTCTTGCCTACTCTAATTGGAAAATATGAACATATTGCCCTAATGTGCAACTTTTCCTGAATTTTGTTTCCCATCAAATTGTATGACAAGAAGGAAAATAGCCAAATATTTTTATGCTAGAATTCTGGACAGACAGATTGAATTCATATAATAGCAACACAGACTCTCTAAAAAGGAATCAAAGCAAGCATGACCTTTTTGGGCAAGTCGACAAACTCTGGATTATTCAATGTACCAATTACTTGATTATTGGAAGTGCTAATCAACAACATAATCCTTGATGTCAAAGTTTAGTCTCTCCATCAGGATATGGACTGTCAAGCTGATCTTGCTTGATGCAATTTGAGGAACTAGCAAAAGATGTCTCGGTGCCAAAGTCCTACTATGATAAAGGAATGAAGCTAGGGAGAATATTCTGTTGAGTGTTATTTTTTCAAGTTTGAGTAACGTGAGTTTCTAAAATTAGCAGTGTTAGTGTTGCCTGCTACATGCTTTATGTCCTGATGGGATCAGTTTTAGCCCTCCAGCTTTGATGTCGAGGTTTCCTAAAGCAAATAAATGAAAACACTGACATCTGCTTGTATTTAACATGATAGTTATGATAAACTGAACTAGAAAATGAAGTGGCACATGCTAAACTCACAACTAGCTTCTGTGTATGTGTATGTGTGTTGGCTAATCCTACTTTGGGGACAGAATGGTAAGAAAAGGAAGGAATTTTTCTGCTTGTGTCAGCAGAACTTCTTCCAGAAATAATGGAAATAGTAGCCACCTACAGAGCCAACCTGTATGTCCTGGGGTCAGCGTCTGCTGAGTTACAGAGCAAACCTTCATCTGTCTAGTCCATGCATTGTAGTCGTAAAAATATACAACATGCAGAACCACTCCAGTTCAGGGCAGAGGTAATCTATATCCCACTGTGAGCTCCTCTGCCCATAATGGTCCAGCACAAGATTTCCTGCTCTGGTCAGGATTCCTGAGGCAAGGGGCATAGCTATTAACCTCCTTTTCTGCCCTAAGAGACTTCTTCTCTCCCCTGTCACTGTAACATCCATCTACCAACATCTTACCCTGCCCTGCTTGCTATGAACAGGACAGAATTTGACCTCAAAGATATACTTGAAAACAGATTTTCTATATTTAAACATATTTCTATGCTAGTCATCGTTATTGACACAGTATTATGGGCCAGAGATTTAGCTAATTTTAACTGAATATGGTTCCACTGATGCTAAACTAATCTAAATCAACAGAGTAATTGGACTCATACACTTAGCACCTATTCTTCTGCTTCAGAAGTTTTTCTTCACCTGGCT